TTTTTCCCCAATATTTCCTTTTAAGTATCTTTTATCCGATTTTCCTACTTTCCTTTTTTTTCTCTTCGGAATTCTCCTTAAATTTATCCCACGGTGAGTGTAAAGGCTGGCGCAATAATTTACCGAGCTGTAAGAAAATCAGGAGCGAAAGTGCCTGGAAATTAACTGAGATCAAATTAGTCATGATATAGAGTACCCTCGAAATCGGAACGTGGCTGCCTGAAGGCAAGGGACACTACTAAGTAGGAAAAACTCGTCTCATCCATAAGAATCATTTGCACTACAGGTTGAAGAACAAGTAGTCGACTACCCCTGAGACCTTGCAAGGGAAAACAAAGAAGAAGAAAAGTAAAAACCCAGACTACAGAAAAAGAGAACTTACTTTACTTTTACTTTTTTCTTCCGCTTGTACCAGTGGGTGTCGCGGGGAGACACAGGCGTCGTGTCTGCAGCAAGGCGAGTGGCCTGTAGGAGGGACATCCCGTGAGTCTCCTTTTATTTTCTTGAGCAATAGTAATATCCACTGCCGGCCTGCTAAGCCAGTCGCAGTTTCACCAGAGCCCCTTTAGCCAGCAACGTTTAGGGGTGACCCGGGTCGGCCTTCACGTTTAGCGTAACGCCTCAGTGACATAAAGTCACACCGTACTTCACATAGACCCAGCTATCTAGCATCTGCGTTTGTTGCCACAAAAATTTAACAAATAAGGACGCGTATCGTCCTATCCGAAGATTGGTTGTTTTAACCCTAAACGTGTGTAATTCAAGAAAAAGTAGGCCTACAGGATATTACGTGTAAATAATGGAATCACACACAATTGGGGTGTGCCAGTGTCTGTATTCGGTTTTGGTGGAGACACCCTCTAACATAACACATTTGTATTTTTAAAAGGGTAGGAACAGCATCAAATTAAATGACATTTCTCTGTATAAACAAACACACAAAAAAAGAAAAACAAATCATCAGAACAATTTTTAGAAAAATTAACACAGCAACAAATTAAACCACGGCAAAGAGGGAAAAATAACAGACAGCATTATAAATAGTATGTATATTTAATGTACTTATATTCTCCGCGTGAAAATAAATACACAGGGACATCTTAAAACTTATCAAAATACATGTCTAATATGTTATGAAGTAGGTTGTTTGTTGGGGGGGTTTG